TGCCTTTCCACCTTTCTCTTGCCATTTGTTTTTGAACACATCTCTTAGGTTCTCTGAGCTTCTATTTCCCTGTTTGAAAACAAAGATGGAGACAAGAATTCATTCCTCAGAGAACTGCAAAGCTCAAATTACACACACACACACACACACACCCCGCAAAAAAGTTAACACCAACATGAGTGAATGTTCTGCCCAGTCAGGGAGGCCGTAAGTTCCTGTACATTCTGTCTGACGTCAGGTCTAGCTGTTTAACCTTTCTCGATGTGTCAGTCCAGCTCATTCTTTTTCATTGCCCCTGCAGTTTATCACTTTAGATTGCATTGATGGCCAAGAATCTTCTCTCTACCCCTGGGGTCCACACTACCAAGAATCAGGAGAGCTCCTTTGTCTACATTTGCAGTACAGTAAAGGACGAATCTAGAATTTGGAGCAAAGAGCATGGATGTGATTTGTCTCCAGTTTCACAGGTGATGGTTTATAGGCACAGATGATTCCTGATTCCTGTTTGCATCACTTCATCTGGTCTCCCAAAAGGCAGGGAGCGGGACTAACACAGAACCTTTGCTACAACTTGTTTTTTGTCATGTGTATTACTTTTAGAGACAGTGGAGAAGATGGGTAGTCTGACCCCAAACTGTAAGATAAAAATAATATTTTATTTAGAAAAAAAAACATCACTAGCCCCGATTTAGTAAGCATAATAAGCAAGGGAGATATCTGGATTTCAGAAAAATCCTGATTGCTTTGTCACAGGCTGCAGTCCAGACCGAACCACCTTGACAGAGCAAATCACCAACATTTTCCAGAAATCTCTGTCACAAAGCTAGGTTTCCAAGGGTCACAGAGATGGCTTCCTTTCAACTTAAAGTACAAATCATTGGACAAACAGCCTCGCTAATCAATGCAGTTACCCTTAGAGCTAGTGTGACCCAATGGTGGCCTTAATTCACCCATCTCATTGCTTAGGCCCACTACTTCTCCATTATTAAGTTTCTTTCAGTTCGCTGAGTAGGCCTTGCAGTAGATTTTTTTAGAAATACAAAGGATGTGGGAGATTTTCTGGGCCCTTGAAGAGCTGGAATGTGTTTGTGCTGCCTTCACACCCGCCCAGCTGGGCATGGACTCTTGGGTTCCCAAATATAGACAGTATAGACATAGTTTCACTTGTTTCAGTATAGACATAGTTACACTTGTTCTCACAAAATTCCAAAGAAAGGATCCACACAATCTACAAAAGCACTTGCACGAAAGTTTCCAGCACTGGCTTTAGTGTGTTAGATGCTTCTGAGGGAGTCGCTGGTGTCTTTTCAAATCTACGGAGGCGTTATGGCTCTGAAGGGCGTGGACAGCAGGCTGGGAAAAGATCACTTTCCATGGCAACACGAGCAAAGTCTCTTGAACAACTGCCCTCTTTTCCTGCAATGTCAGGTTCAAAGGTCCCCACAGTACAAAGATCTGAGGTCTAGCCTTTGCCCACAGTGGAAAGGCATGCGGCTGGGGCCCCCGTAAGACTGGGTGGGAGATGCAGATGAAGTTCACTAACTCTTGCAGTGGACACTGGGGCCAAGGGCCAGGGTAATTTCTCATCCACATCGGTGCCCATGATGCAACCAATGTCAACCATCCCGCATACCACATTTTACTAAGAAGAATACAGAGTATTTTAAAAGTTCGTGGGGGCCTGGCACCGTGGTTTGCTTGGTTAATCCTCCACCTGTGGCGCCAGCCTCGCATATGGGTGCCGGGTTCCAGTCCAGCTCTCTGCTGTGGCCCGGGAGGTCAGTGGAGGATGGCCCAAGTGCTTGGGCCCCTGCACCCGCATGGGAGACCAGGAGGAAGCACCTGGCTCCTGGCTTTGGATCGGCACAGGACACCAGCCATAGCGGCCATTTGGGGAGCGAACCAACGGAAGGAAGACCTTTCTCTCTGTTTCTCTCTCTGTCTGTAACTCTACCTGTCAAAAAAAAAAAAAAAAAAACTTAAAAGTTCGTGAAAAACGGAGTGAAAAGATGCTTACTTTGATTCAAAAAAGTTTTGAAATCCATGCATCTAAGGGGTTTTCAAAAAGTTTGTTATTGTTGTATAAAAAGAAAAACTATGCATGGATTTAAAAAAAATTTTTTGTACCAAAATAACGTAGCTTTTCATTCCATTTTTCCATTACCTTTCTGAAGATTCCTTGTAATAGTTAATATGCTCCAAGCATTTACACATATTAATCCAGTTAATTCTCACAACTACTTTTGAAAGTAGCAACTATTATATCATTCCCATTTTCCAGATGAGAAAACCAAGGCAGAGAAAGGACAAATCGTTTGCCTAGGGTTGCACTTTTGCAGGCTGCAAAAAAAAGTGCAGGGTTGCACTATTGTAGGCTGGAGCCTACAATAAAACTGACTGAGGCTGATAACAGAGGAAGTCCTTCCTCCAGCCACACCACAGTACCAATGCAGTAAAAGTTCATCAGGGTTAATTTCTTTAAAGGTTTACTATTGTATCGCCTGTAATAATAACAAGAGTTCAGTGGTGAGTGTTTGTTCTAGCTGTTAGTATGCCACTTGGGACAAGGGAATCCCAGAGAGGAGTGCCTGGCCTTGATCCCACCTCTGCTCCTGAATCCAGATTCCTGCTAATTTGCACCCTGGGAGGCAACAGGTAATGGTTCAAGTACTTGGATCCCTGCTGCCACTTGGGAGACTTGCATTGAGCTCCTGGCTCCTGCCTTCAGCCTAGCCCAGCTCGGGCTGCTGCAGGCATTTGAGGAATAAATCAGCTGAGGGGAGAACTCTTCCTTTGTCGCTCCATCTCTTGTCTTTCTTTCTTTCCCTTTCTTTTTCCTTCCTTCCTTCCTTCCTTCCTTCCTTCCTTTTTTAAAGATTTGTTTAGTTATTCAAAAGGCAGAGTTACAGAGAGAGGGAGACACACAGAGAAAGATATTCCACCTGCTGGTGCATTCCCCAAATGGCCACAACGGCTGGGGCTGGGCCAGGCTGAAGCCAGGAGCCGGGAGCCAGGAGCCAGGAGCTTCTTTGGGGTCTCCCATGTGGGTGCAGGGGCCCAAGCACTTGGGCCATTCTCCAGTGCTTTCCCAGGTGCATCAGTAGGGAGCTGGATTAGAAGTAGAGCAGCCAGGACTCAAACTGGTGCCCATAGAGGAAGCTGGCTTTGCAGGTGGCAGCTTTAACTGCTGCACCACAACACTGGGCCCCTCTTGCCTTTCAAATACATAGATTAAAAAAAAAAAAATTTAAAGAGCATTTGCGGATCCTGACACTAAAAAACACTGTAGAATAATGTTTAGTGAACACATAAACGCAGTCTATTAATAAATACACAGACTATTTGTTTTGTGATTGCTGAAGTCCCTTTTATCTCCTCTCATCTGGGTTCAGTGGCTTCTGCCTCCTGCTGTTACATCACCCTTGCCATGTGGTGACTTCTGTTACTTGTAAACACAGTTCTTTACATCACGTGAACTGTGGGGAGCTTAGATGAGGTCATCTCCCAGGTTTCTTCCAACTCTAGCATTCTATAACCCTGTGAGATTCATTGTTGAAGAAAGGTGCTATGCCTGTTACAATCATCAAAATAAATTTCCAAGTGAGAAAAAGATATTGGATATGCCAGGGGAAACAGGCGTCCCAGGTATTATATAGTCCATTTGGTAGCTCTTCCTTGAGAGCAGTTTGAGAGACAGAGAGAGTGTATGTATAGGTATGAAAATCTGTTATTTCCATTTTTAGGGAATTCTCTCAGGAATGCTTCTGGCTACAAATCTCAGAAAGCCTGACTTACTATAAAGGCCTTGTGGTGCAATGGGTCAAGCAAGTTTCCATCCTGGTCGCTCCACTTCTGATCCGGCTCTCTGCTAATATGCCTAGGAAAGCAGCTTTTGATGGCTCAAGTACCCTGCCACCCACATAGAAGACCTAGAGGCAGTCCTGGGCTCCTGGCTTTGGCCTGGCCCAACCCTGCTGTGGTGGCTGTTTGTAGAGTAAATTGGTGGATGAAAGATCTCTCTTTCTCTGTAACTCTGCCTTTTAAATAAATAAATAAATAAATAAATAAATAAATAGATTACATTTTTTTTTATTTGACAGGTAGAGTTATAGACAGTGAGAGAGAGAGACAGAGAGAAAGGTCTTCCTCTGTTGGTTCACCCCCCAAATGGCTGCTACGGCCAGTGCTGCACCAATCCGAAGCCAAGAGCCAGGTGTTTCTCCTGGTCTCCCATGGGGTGCAGGGCCCAAGTACTTGGGCCATCCTCCACTGCCTTCCCGGGCCACAGCAGAGAGCTGGACTGGAAGAGGAGCAACTGGGACTAGTACCCGGCGCCTCCTGTTATTTATTTATTTATTTATTTTTTAAAAAGGAAGCTGGAATTGGGATGAGGCCAGGACTCGAACCCAGGCACTTGGATATGAGACACACATGTCCGAAGCAGGACTTTAACCAAGCATCCACCACTCCCAATATGGAATTTGATAGATGGTGATAGACTGTTGGGGAGAAAACTAAAGCTTGTCTTATGGAGCCTATGAGTCCAGACTCAAAAACCAGTGACCGGGAATAAGAGAAACCAGGAGCTGGAGGTTCATTGTGAATTCTGACAGGTGCCAAAGGACACTTTTCTCGTAGGAGAAGCAAATACCTGTGGCTGTGAATGAAGCGTGCACACATCGATGGAGTTCTGTGCAGGAAGGAGAACAAGGGAAGTGTAATCGGACCTTCTTGGAAAATACGTGGCATGATCTTCTATAGTCGAGATAAGCGCCTTACTGAGAGCTGGCACCCTGATTTCCAGCTGATGTGACAATTATGAGGCCATTCCCGGGCCGTAGCGGAGCCCAAGCTGCAGCTTACAAAGGCGTTTGCAAGGTCACATAAAGGCGTCGCGTCCAGCTTGTTGGGACACAGCCTCCGTGTTTATTCTATTTATACAAGGGGAGATTGGAGATGGGAGATGGAAGGGGAAGGGGGACAGGAGGGGGAGGGGGACGGGGAGGGAGAGGGAGAGGCAGAGGGAGAGGGAGAGGCAGAGGCAGAGGCAGAGGCAGAGGCAGAGGCAGAGGCAGAGGCAGAGGCAGAGGCAGAGGGAGAGGGAGAGGGCCTTCCATCTGCTGGCTTGCTCCCTAGATGGCTGCAATGGCCAGGGCTGGGCCAGACCAAACAGGAGCCAGGAGCTTCATCCAGGTCTCCCACATGGGTGCAGGGGCCCAAGCACCTAGGCCATCCTCCACTGCGTTCCCAGGCCACAGCAGAGAGCTGGATTGGAAGTGGAGCAGCTGGGACTCGAATTGGGTCCATGTGGAATGTCAATATCACAGGTTTGGCTTACCAGCACCACAGCACCGGCCAGTCTTGAAAATTGATGAGGAGCTGCCGTGAATCAGGGAAGGAAGCGGGGCTCCCCACCCGCACCCCGCCTGCCTTGCCCTGACCCCAGAGCTGCCGGTAGGCTCCCCAAAGGTCCTCTGCGTGATTGGCCTTCCCTGGGTCTGGGGTAGCAGCATCTGCTCCAAAACTGTCTTCTCTCCCCTACTTGAGCTGGATGCTCAGACTCCAATACTCTCCTGAAAGCTTCTCACCCCATTACTCTCAGAACGTAGCCTATTAGCAAGTGTCTGGGAGAGGCGCACTGGCTCCCGGCCCCGGCTGGGTCTCTCCTCAGTCAGTGCAGGGAACTGGTGTGCTTGCTCAACCAACCCGCGGCGTCACGGAACGGCCCTTTCCAGGCCTGGGATTCCCCAGCTCCTTCATAAAAGAGGCCCTTGTCTCCTAGCGCTCCCAGGTGAGAAGCTGCACCTGGGGCCTCGTTAAGCCGACTGCCTACAGACCCATCAAACACCTGGATCCAGCTCCCAGACAGAGGCCTCCGGAGCTCCTCTGTAATCAGCCCCGTGTGTGTGTGTTTGCTATCAGAGAAGTCTGAGCACGCTACTCTGCGGCCTACCTATTGGGGTGATTTTTAAACATAGGACAGGGATGGGCCTTCCGTGCAGTGGTTAAGACACCCCTTGGAACGCTTGCATCCCATATCGAAATGCCTGCGTTTGAGGCCTGGCTTCGCTTCTGATCCGGCTTTCTGCTAATGCATATCCTGAGAGGCAACAGATAAATGGTCTTTGTAGCTGGACCCTGGCCACCCACGCAGGAGACGCACACTGAGTTCCTGGCTCTGGGCTGCCCCAGTCCCAGCTATTGCAGCTGTTAGGGGGAGAGAACCAGCGGATGGATGATTTCTGTCTGTGTCTCTCTGTCTTTAAAAAGTAAATAAATTTTAAAAAGGACAGGGAAGCCCCCATCAGACTAGCAGAGATCACGCATCATAGCTCAGTTGTGGCCTGGTACCCTTGGACTTCAGTTCAGTCTGCTTTGGCCAGTTAGGATGGGGTCACATTGTAATGGAATGTGGCCGTTTACGCCATGGAAAGAAATGCCAGCAATTCTAGAATCATAAGAACAACAGCAAAAAGCAAAGATGTGATCTAACTTCCTTTTAAAAAAAGAAGATTTATTTGAAATGTGGAACAACAGAGAGAGAGAGAGTGCGCGATCTTCCATCCATGGGTTTTGCCCAAAATGCCTGCAATAACTTGGGGCTTATTAGCCCCAAGCCAGGAAGCAGAAACTCCATTTGGATCTCCCACCGTGGCAGGGACCCAAGCACTTGAGCCACCATCTGCAGCCTCGCAGGTGCATTAGCAGGAATGCTGCAATGAAGCACAGAGTAGCAGAAACCCAAACCAGGCACCAGAACACGCGATGTGGGCATTCCAAGCAACAGCCGAATCTGCGGAGCCACCACACCTGCTCCTGAGCGAAGTTCTGAGTAAAGGCTCGGGTGGTTTCCAACAAGGATGAAGCAGGAGAGGATGTGAAATAGGGGGACAGGAGATAAAATCGTACAACACAAACACATACTACAGTCTGAGTTTTTAGTGCAGGAGCCAGGTACCTGGTTCATCCTCCACTGCCTTCTCAGGCACATTAGCTGGGAGCTAGATAGGAAGCAGAGCAGTCAGGACTCAACAGGCTCTCCATCGTGGGACACCAGCATCCCGGGGAAGCTTGAGCCCCTGCCCCACAGTGCAGGCTCCAGCTGCAGTCTTGTTGCCCATCTTTACCTGAGCCATCTCGAGCGGATCTTTGAGCTCTGCAGTCAGTGGCGCTCCACCTGCCAATGACCGCCAAGAGCTCAGCGTCCCAGCCTGTCAGGGCCGTGGCCGCCACCTACCCAAATCCAGGAGCCCTATAGACAACAGAGGTTCATCTCCCACAGTTCTGCAGGCTGGGATACAAGACCAAGGTGCCAGCAGGTTCAGAGACGGGTGAGGGTCCACTTTCTGCCTTCCAGCCATGACCTCTGCAGGTGGAAGTGGCGAGGGAGTTCCCTTGGCCTGTCGCATCCCCATCAGCCTCTCCTGCTAACATCAGCACCTTGAGGGATACAAGCTTAACATACATGTTTTGGGGGAACACTCAAACCACAGCACAAAGGGAAGGGAAATAATATATTAGCGATGCTTTGATCCCATGTTGCGTTCCTCCTAAATGTTCTTTCTTCCTTTTTTTCTTTTTTCTTCCTTCCTTCCTTCCTTCCTTCCTTCCTTCCTTCCTTCCTTCCTTCCTTCCTTCCTTCCTTTTTTTCTTTATGTCTTTAGAAAAGATTATTTGAAGGGTGAAGTCACAGAGAGGCAAAGGCAGAGAGAGACAGAGAATCTTCCATCTGCTGATTCACTCCCCAAATAGCCACAACAGGCCGATCCGAATTCAGGAGCCAGGAGCTTCTTCTGGGTCTCCCACATGGGTGCAGAAGCCCAAGCACTTGGGCCATCTTCTACTATTTTCCATCGCAGAGAGCTGGATCAGAAGAGGAGCAGCCGGGACTCAAATTGGCATCCATGTGGGATGCTGGCGCTGCAGGTGACAGCTTTTACCCACTATGCCACAGCGCCGGCCCCCCTCATAAACTTTCTAAACTAGTTTTGATGAGGTCACAACCTCTGAACGGAGACTGAGAGCCACTTCTAGCCAGCGCGACCTGGAATGTTGCCGAGGTGCTTGGTCCATGGCATGTCATGTGCTTCCGTAGGCCAGAAATCCTCCAGCTTTTTTGTTTCAAGACCCTTGTATCCTATTAAAAATGACCGAAAATTCCCAAGAGCTTCTGTTATGTGGGCTAGGCATCTTTAACATTTGTTTGTATTCATTCATTTAAAAATAACAATAAATGTAAATGTTAACATAAATTTTTAAATTTAGCAATAGGACTGTCATTGTTTCCCATTTTTGCTCATGTCTCTGATGTCTGGCCTAGTAGCAGGCAGCCGGATTCTCCTCCCTGCTTCTGTGTTCCCTTGGGTGCCCCTTCCCACACCAGGGGGCCTCTTGGAAACCCCACACAGCCCCATGTCAGAATGAGTGAAAAAGGCACATCGACTGCCTCAGAGGCACGGGGAGACCCAGATGAGCCCACACCATGCTTGGAGACGCTCCACTCTGGTTAAGCAGGGATCTGGACCTATCCTTGGGAAACACACAATTACTCTTTCTTCATTGTGAACAGTCTCGGGGCTAGTGCTGTGGTGTAATAGGTTAAGCCTCTGCCTGTGGCACTGGCATCTCATATGGACACTGGTTCGAGTCCCAGCTGATCCAGCTCTCTGCTGTGGCCTAGGAAAATAGTGGAAGATGGTCCACGTGCTTGGGCCCCTGTGCCAATGTGAGAGATCTGGAGGAAGCTCCAGGCTCCTGGCTTCAGATCAGCCCAGTTCCAGATGTTGCAGCCATTTGGGAGTGAACCAGTGGATGGAAGACCTCTCTTTCTGTCTGTCTCTGTAACTCTGCCTCTCAAATAAATAAATAAATAAATATTTTAAAAGATTGTGAACAATCTCTGGTTAGGCTCTGGCCTTATCACTTTCTCCATTGCCCTCATCCAATTCATTCTCTACTACCAGCTCCTAAAATCATGTCATTTACTGAGCCACTTCAGCATGCCAGGTCCTAGAGTCAGCCCTCTGTCTGCACTGTCACCTTGAATGATTTTTTTAAAGATTTATTTATTTATTTGAAAGTCAGAGTTACAGAGGTGCAGAGGCAGAGGCAGAGAGAGAGAGAGAGAGAAAGGTCTTCATCTGCTGATTCACTCCCCATATGGCTGCAACAGCTGGAGCTGCACCAATCTGAAGCCAGGGACAGGAGCTTCTTCCAGGTCTCCCACTCAGGTGCAGGAGCCCAAACACTTGGGCCATCTTTTTCTGGCTTTCCCAGGCCATAGCAGAGAGCTGGATCAGAAACGGAGCAGCCAGGACTCAAACTGGCATGCTTATGGGATGCTGGCACTGCCGGCAGCAGCTTTACCCACTACACCACAGCGCTGGCCCCTGCCTTGAGTCTTTACACCAACTCTAGGAGACAGTAGTTATTACTGATGAGGAAATGGGTGCATGGGTAAGGGCAAGGATACGCCCCAAATCTCAGAGCAGGTGAGAAACCAGGGATCTAAGACATCTGACTCTGGACTTCATTATTTTCACCATTTCATCTTTACACAGTAATTAGCCCACTGAAATGGGCTCGGCTATAATTTTGAGACAGAATTTCTCATTTTATGCATTCCACATGTGTTTTGTTTTCCATTTGTGGAAATTCCATTCAGAAAGGCCCTGTGTCTGTTGGCTACCCTACAACTTGAAGTTTTCTGTTTTCTTTTGTGTTCTGCATGGCTTCAGGAAGCTTTGAGGTTTTGGCTGCACAATAGTTTCAGGGAGTCCTGGTATCAAATAAACCTTTGAGTTTTTGCTTTTGGGTTTTGTCCTCATTGTTGTCCTACTCACTTGTGTTGGGTTGAATAGTGACGCCCAGAAATCTGTCCAGGTCTCTTGTCACGGAGCCTCAGGGTACGACCATCTTTGGAAATAAGGTCTTGGCAGAAGTAATTAATTAAGCGAAGGCTGGAATTAGAACATGCTGGATTAGGATGAGCCCTAAACCCGGTGATTGTGTCCTTAACAGACACAGAGAGACCAAGATGGAGACGAAGCTGGCATCATGCTGCCACCAGCCAGGGAAGGCAGGAGGCCCAGAAACCGGGAGAGGCAAGGAAGGAGTCTCCCCTGGAGACTTTGGGGGAGCATGGCCCTAGTGGATGGTTTTGGCCTCTAGAACCATGAGAGGAATAAATTTGGGTTGTTTGAAGCCGCTTTAGGTTAAGGTAATATGTTACAGCAACCCTAGGACATATCATCCTTCAAGACCTGACCCCAAATCCAGCCCCTCTCTCTGGCCTGTCCCTGTCAGCTGAGAAGTGTTTCTCCCTCCTCTGAATTCCAAGAGCACCTGCTGTCTGCATCTTTGCTGGGACCGACGTGTGTCACCTTCTCTAGAAGGAAAGTTGTTGTTTTTGAAAATTGGTCCCTGCTGAAAGTAAGAGTGGGAATAAGAGAGAGAGGAGATGTACAGTTCGGCACATGCTCCCTCAGACTTACCCCTATGGGTAAAGCTAAAAACTTGCCATGGGATGCCAAATCCCATTAAGTTGGCAGGTGCCAATGCCATCTTACTAGTTAAAGTGATCAGTTTTAGTTCATAATGGATCATAAAGATAGGATTAAGTGTCAAAGGGATCACATAAATAAAACTAGTGTCTGCTAATATTAACTGATAGAATTAAAAAGGAGAGAACTATCCAACATGGATACACAGTAGACTCATAGAATGACAAATGCCCTAAACAGCACTCTGGCCTCAGAATCAGACCTTAAGGCATTCAGATCTGACTAAAAAGCCCATGAGAGCATGGAAAGCCAAGGCACCGAGGCAAAAGATGACCTAAATGAAAGATCTCTGTGAGTGAGATCCCAGCAGAAAGAATGGGCCATCAAGGAAGGAGGTAACTTTCTCCAAAGGGAGGAGAGAACTTCCACTTTGATTATGACCTTGTCTAAATAAGGTCAGAATTTGTGAACTCAAGAGGCTTCCATAGCCTTGGCAGCTCATGACAAGAGCCTCAGGTGATTACTGACATCATAAATAACAGTGTCGATTGTTAAATCAACAGGAGTCACTGTGCACTTGCTCCCCATATAGGATCTCTGTTCTTAATGTGTTGTACTATGAGAATTAACAGTAAAACTAGTTTCAAATAGTACTTTATACATTGTGTGTCTGTGTGGGTGCAAACTGTTGAAATCTTTACTTAATATAGAGTTGATCTTCTATATAAAGATATTTAAAAATGAATCTTAATGAAGAATGGGATGGGAGAGGGAGTAGGAGATGGGATGGCTTGTGGGTGGTAGGGTGGTTATGGGGGAAGAACTGCTATAATTCAAAAGTTGTATTCTCAAAATTTATACTTATTAAATAAAAGTTTTCTATTAAGAAAAAGAGTTGTTTTTTCTTTTTTTTTTTTTTGAAGTTTTTTTTTTTTTTATATGACAGATAGAGTTAAACAATGAGAGAGACAGAGAGAAAGGTCTTCCTTCTGTTGGTTCACCCCCCAAATGACCACTACGGCTGGAGCTATGCCAATCTGAAGCCAGGAGCCAGGAGCTTGTTCCTGGTCTCCCACGCGGGTGCAGGGGCCCAAGGGCTTGGGTCATCCTCCACTGCCTTCCCGGGTCACAGCAGAGAGCTGGACTGGAAGAGGAGCACCTAGGACTAGAACCCGGCACCCATATGGGATGCCAGCACTGCAGGCAGAGGATTAACCAAGTGAGCCACGGTGCCAGCCCAAAAGTTGTTTTTTCTAAAAACTCCTTCCTTGAGTCTCTGGTTAGGTCCTAGTCCAGTGATGTGTGTGTGTGTGTGTGTGTGTGCATGCTAATGTCAAATGTATAATTATTAAGTTTATAATTTTAACTATTTCCATTTAATGAATCCATTCATTAATATTTTTGAGAGCCTACCATGTTTCAGGCATTTTTGGGATAAATCCATGCACACAAAAAAGACAAAACTCCTGTTCTCGGGAAACCAACACCCTAGTGAGACTACAGGTGTGCGTGTGTTGAAACCCAGATGCTCCAGCCCCATACTTCAGACTACGTTACTGAAGCGTTGTCTCTTTTTCCATCATTTGTTTTTGATCATTTGAAAGGCAGAGAAAAAGAGAGATCTTTCATCTCTTAGTTTACTCCCCAAATGCCTGCAACAGCCAGAGCTGGGCCAGGCTGAAGCCTGGAGCCAGGAACTCCAACCAGGTTTCCCACATAAGTAGCAGGGACCCAAATACTTGAATCATCACTATTATTTCCATTAGCAGGAAGTCGGCGTCAGAAGCAAAGCTGGGATTCGAACCCCGGCACTCTGATATGGGATGCAGGCGTCCCAAGCGGCAACTCAACCGTGGCGCCAAATGCCCACCCCTTTCCTGTTCCTCTATTCCTTGGTCACCGGTTTCTGATGCTGGGTCTATTCTTGACTGTCGAGGCCAGAAGAGGAGAGTGGGGAGTGACATGACTTCCGGGACATCTTGGTTCTCTCATCCTCTCTCGTAGCCATCCTGTGTCCTGACATTCTTTCTGCTCACTTAAACATGAGCTGTGTTGCAGCCAGCTTCTGACGCCCGAGAGCAGGAAAGGGCCTGAGAATCTGGGCTGAGCAGTAGAGAGGACACAATGCTGTAGTCTAGTACCAGAAAGGTGGCTGATGCCACTTTTGCCAGGAGCTGTGGCTCATCAGTCGTCTTGCATTGCTGCCAAAATAAAGGATGATTGCTTTTCCCAAGTGGGGACGAATGCCAGGTGCCAGAACCACGTGTATGGGATAAGTAGGATGCACGTTTTCACAGGGGCAGTGCGTAGAACAATGAGTATATTCTCTCATCTTACTTTGATTTTCAACCTCTGGGAAATCTTACTGATAGGAGAACCAGACTCTGTTGATAGCTAATTTGAGGAGTCGGGGTGGGTGGTAGAGGAGGAAGAATAGTGATTTGTCATTCAGCCTCTCTAACAGGCAAATGTATGTGTAGAAGATAATACTTGCGGTGGGCATTGGGTGCAGCACTTAAGATGCCACTTGGGACACTTGCATATCAGAGTGCCTGGGTTTAAGTCCCCACTCTTCCTGACCGCAGCTTCCTGGGAGGCAGACTCTGGGAGGCAGCAGGTGGCGGCTCCCTTGGGTCCCTGCCGCCCAGTAGGAAACCTTGGACTGAGTTCCTGGTCCCTGGCTTTCGCCTGGCTCAGTCTCAGCTGGTTGCAGGCATCTGGGGAATGCACTGGCAGATGGAGCATCTCTGTCTGTCTCTGTCTCTCACCTTTCGAATAAAAAACATGTTTAAATGTTTAAAAAAAGAACATCATATAGCTCAACAAAAGACTAGTACTTGGTTGTCTCAGAGGGTGGTAAAATAGCACAGTCATAAAGAGCTATTGGAAGGAGCTAAGAAGTAAGTTGATATGAACATTCCAGGGAGCTCTTTGGCAACATGTATCAAAAGATGTACAACATTCATCCTCTTTAATCAAGTGACTGTATTTCCAGGAATGTATCGTAGAGAAATAATCCTCTGTTTGCAGAAAAGTCCTCTTTGCAGCTCTTCTCCCCATTGTTTACAACAATGGAAAACAAGGCACACATTCACAAACGCAGAACTGTTTAAGTGAAGAATGCTAATCCACGTTAGGATATGAGGCAGCCACTAAAAATTACATTCAGGGTGGGCGTCTGGCGTGGCACTTGGGTTGCAGCTTGGAATGCCTGTGTCCCATATCTGAGCGCGAAGTTCAAGTCCTGGCTCCTTTGTGTCTGATCAAGCCCTGGGAGGCAGAGGATGATGGCTCAAGTAGCTGGGTCCCTGCCACCCATGTGGGAGACATCAACTGAGTTCCAGGTCATTGGTTTTGACCTGGCCCCACCCTGGCCATTGTAGACATTTGGGGAGTGAACAAGCAGATGGGAGAGCTCTGTCTCTCTCTCTCTGCCTTTGAAATAAAATGAAACTACACACAAATATTTTAGTTACATGCAAGGATTGGAAAATGTTAATAGTTTTTAAGTGATGTGCACATGAGCGTTCATTATGGTATTCTCTATACTGTAAAGTATGGTTGAAATTTTCAATAATAAAGACTAAAAAACTCTTGGCCTCAAAGAATGTTTACATCTCATAGAAAATGCTCAGAAGGCATTAATAAGTGGAAAAGGCAGGTTACCCAGCAGTACGTGTAGATTCCAGTTTTGTATGTACATATACATATGTCTTAGATTTGCTTGTCTGAATACATAGCAGTACTTCAAAAAGCTCATGAGAATAAAAGATAAGTTTATTGTGGTGCAAAAAATTGAAATCCATGCATACTATTCATCTTCAAAAATCTCACGGAAATGAGTATTGTGAAAAAATTATGCATGCATTTCAAAGTTTTTTACACCAAATTAAACTTATGTTCTATTTCCCTTTCTCAAAGTACCCTCATACACACACACATACACACACACATATATGTATTATATATATAAAAGTTCATGTATTCATTTGATATGAATATAGAAGTATATTCATTTACCTGCAGACATACACAGTATATTTCTGTTGAACTTCAGACATCGGATGGCAGGCATATAGAGCTTTGATTGCTGCAAGAAGGAAGACAAATGCAGCGAGTCCTCCAGCATCCCTGGCTTTCTGGACTGTAGCACAGGAAGGGGAGTGGGAGATCGAGCACGGCAGCCTCACTGAATTCTGGAAACGTAAGTGAGACTTTGGGAGTGCGAGGAACTGGGATTTGTGCAGAAAAAGGGCCGTGTGAGTGTTCCCAGGGGAAAGCTCCGGGGATGACCGCAGCCCTCCGAGGGCTGAGAGGTACACTGGTCCATCCAAGCAGGCAGCTAGGAGGCTCCGGAAAGGACTAACCTAGGGAGGGAGGCTAAAGCAGTCCCCAGATAGGAGGTACCTTAGCTTCACCAAAGAAACCTTCACAGTAAGCCTGAGGAGACCACCTGTTCCCCCAACCAAGGTAACTGCCTACAAGAATAAGGAGCAGCATCTTTTAAAAGAAACCCACAAGAAATCCAGACAACACAGGATTCACGATGTCCAGAATGCAACACAAAATAAGATCTTTAGATGAAAACCAGATATTAGAAGCAGACCCAGAAATGAAATTCATAGACAAGGATTTAAAGAGAACTCTACTACAAATATGTTTAAGAATTTAAAGAAAAAACTCAAGGAACATAATGAGAAAGATGGAAATTTTAACTGTAAAAACCCTTCTGTGATTTCTAGACCTGAGCATTGTGCGTGCACAGTTCACAGGATGGCCTTAGCAGGAGATCACAAGCTGCAGAAGAAAAGATTAGTAAACTTGAAGGTGAAGGAAAAACACAATACCCTAACTACAGTTCAGACAGAGAAAGAGCCAGGGAAAAATACAAAGAGAGCCGAGTGGCTTGTGGGACAATATTATATGAGATCCTGGCATTCCAAGTGGCATTTCTTAAAAGATTTATTTATTTACTTGAAAGTCAGAATTACAGAGAGAGAGAGAGATCAGTCTTTCATCCACTAGTTCACTGCCCAAATGGCACAATGGCCAGGGCTGGGCCAGGCCAAAGCCAGGAGCCAGAGCTTCTTCCTGGTCTCCCTCACAGGTGCAGGGACGCGAGCACTTGGGCCATCTTCTACTGCTTTCCCAGGCCATAGCAGAGAGCTGGATTGGAAGAGGAGCAGCCGGGACTAGAACCCACGCCCATATGGGATGCTGGCGCCGCGGTGCTTGCCCCCATAATCTTTTTTTTTTTTTTTTTTCAAAGCAGCCAGAGAAAGAAAGGTACATTCCACTGATGGAACAAAGATAAAAATGACCCTGACTTCACATCAGAGATAGCGGAACTGGCAGACATGTAGTTACAAGGAAAGAAACTCTGTGTGTAATAAACACAGCCTTTAAAAAAAACAGTGGGGGTAGATGTTTGACACAGTGGTTAAGATGCCAGTTGGGAGGTTAAGCCCCCACTTGTGATGCCAGCATCCCATCTTGGGGTGCCGGTTAGAGTCCTGGCTTCTCTGCTTCCCATCCAGCTTCCTGCTAATGCACCTGAGAAAGCAGTGGAAAGAGGGTCCAAGTGCTTAGGGCCCTGCCACCCATCAAGGAGATCGGGTGGAGTTCCTGGTTCTGGGCTTTAGCCTGGCCCACATCTGGCTGTTGTGTCCATCTGGGGAATGAGCAGCAGATGGAAGACCATTCTCTCACGTTGTCTCTCTATTCCTCTGCCTTTTAAATAAATTAACCCATTCACAAATAAATAAATAAATCTTTTAAACATGTCACTTCAAATACCTGTATTTCATATCAGAGTGCCTGGGTTTTAGTCCTGGCTTTGTCTGATATGTGCACCCTGGAAGGCAGCAGGTGATGGCTCCGGTCATTGGGTCTCTGCCGGTCACATGGGAGATCTGGAGTGAGTGCTGGGCTCCCGGCTTCGACCTGGCCCAGCCCTGGGTGTTGCGGGCATTTTGGCTGTGGAACAGCAGATGGAAGAGTTTCTCTCTTTCAAATAAATTAAAGATAAATACATGAATAAATAACAAAATAAAATTTCAAACACAGTTAATTATTAGAACATACTGATTAGAACATACTGCCTTGTGTAACAGTTAATAATTAGAATAATAGCTAATTATCAGAAAGTAATTATCGCCTACACAACAAAAAGTAGGAGAAGTAGTTCTTCAGGCTTTAAGGATAAGGAACTAGCTGTACATAAAAATATAAAGATAACTGAAAATGAAAATATGTGATAATATAATGAAATTTTTTTTCTTGAGATTAAAACTTTCATCAGAGATAACTGACTGATAATGGATTGGAGGCCAATAACATATGTATGTGTAAAAGATATGACAAGGAAGAGGGGGACATGGAAGCAGACTGTTGCAAGGTCTAACTTATCTAAGCAACTGTACAATTTTATTTGAAGATAGAAGGGCAGATAAGATTAAATGCACGCTATGAACCCTAGAGCAACTGCTATAAATGGAAAACAAACACATATTAACCAATAGAAGAAATTAAATGAAATATTAAAAATAATCCAAAACAAGTCAGGAACTAGGGGAAAAAGTGAAAAAAGAAGAGTTGAGACAAGGAGAACACAAAACACAAGATGTTTGCTATAAACTCACCAATACCAACAACTGCATGAACCAAATGCACCAATTACAACAAGCAGAGGTTGTCAGACTGGAAAAAGATGAGACCCCTACATGTTTGTCTGAAAGAAACATGCTCTAAATATAAAGACAGAGTTTGAGCACAAAGAATGAAATGAACTAAATAGACTATACCATGCAAACGTTGTTCCAAAGGAAGCTATGTGAAAGTGGACTTCAGGATGAGGGTCATAGCCCGCAACAGAGGAGCATTTCATGATGATCAAAGGGTCACTTCATCGTGTGTGTGTCTTACATGTTAACACATGCAGTGAATATATAACAATTCTAAATGTGAGTGCAATTCGTAACAGAGCTTCAGAATACTTGAATTTTGGTTTTCAAAGCCAACAAAACTGAAAGGAGAAACAAATACATAATGATACTCAGATTTTTTAACACTCATCTCTTAAAATTTATAACATAAGTAAATAGAATCAGTGAGGATGTGACTGAGAACCACTATCTACCAACACGATCTAATTGGCACAGATAAAACACTGCACCTAACAGCGGCAGAAGGCAGATTCTTTTCAAGTATACATGGAATGTTCACCAAGAGAGACCATATGGTGGGTTAGAACATAAGCCTCAGTAAATTCAAAAGGAATGTGTACTCTGATGATAATATAATGAGAAACATATCTGTAAAACCCCCAGGTATTTGGAAATTAAACAAGACTCATCTAAGCGATCCATAGGTCAAAGAAGAAATTACAACGAAGTTAGGAAATATTTCCAACTGAATAACAGTGAAACTTCAAAATAATAGAATTTGCAAGATTCGATTAAACAGGGCCTAGGGGAAAATGTGTAGCTTTAGGTGCTTATATAAGAAACAAATAAAAGTCTAAAATCAACATCTAAGCGTCCTGCCACAAGAAGATTAAAATAAACTCAAGCATGTAAAAGGTAGAAATGATACAAAGGCAAAAATCAAAGAAATAAAATATGCAAAAACTGAAAAACCAATTAAAACAAAAGCTGATTCATTTGTCAGTTCAATGAAACTGATAAATCTCGAGCTGGACTGAACAAGAAAAAAGAACACAAGTTTCCGTAATAGAAACGAGGACTCGTTGCTATGGACGTGCATTTATGACAACACATGTGACAACTCTGAGGACACTGAGAAATAACTGGACGAATGACTGACACATAACAAGAAATGGAGGGTCGTATATAGGAGCCGGGAGTCCGGAGCCAGGCTGCTAGGGCTCGAACCTGTGTTCTGTGTTCTTTCATTTACCAGCTAAGAAAATTTGAACCAAGCCCTTAATTTCCCTGTCCTCTATTCCTTCTCCCGTAGTACCGGGATAACTGGGGTTTTTACAGAGTGAATGACCTGTGCCTAGTACTCCGTAGGTGTTCTTTATAATTTCTTAGCTCTTATACGACTTTTCTGAATTAAGATACAATTAATGGCGCAAAGGAAAAAGAGTTGAAGCTTTTTGGGTAACACTGGAGCTCTCCTTGGCCTGTGAGACAGGCTGCTAGTGGGTGTAGCTGGAAAGTTCATATAAACTGCTCAGAAGTCTACTGTGGTTTGTTTAAATTCAGCGTAGGAAATCAATCAACTCCAAAATGGAAAAAAAAGCCCTGAAGAGACATGCTTGCTCCCGGCCCTGACACTCTTCCCTTCCCACACTCTGAAAGGGAGTTCCCAGGCTGAACTTACGGTACGCTGGGGAGTTACCTGTGTTGAGATGCTGGGAAACAGGAGATCTTCCTGGGTCAACTGGCAGATGGGAGAAAATGCAGTTTGTCTTCTGTGGTTTGCAGTCGAGTAGAAAGTTTCCCATCCTAGGTCCTCAAACATTGGAATTTTCTGGAAATGTTCCATTTCCTCCCATGGGCCCCTGGAATCTGAGCTATGCTGCACTCTCTCAGATCATGGCTATACAGTGGCTCTGTCAGCCTGCTGCCAACCCCCATGCTGAACAAGCCCTGGCACAAGGCTGAGGGCGCCCTGCCAATGACACCACCTGATGGCCAAGGTCGGCCTCTCCCGAGGGGGAGAGGCCTCTGCCTGCAGCCGGCTGCCTGCTGAAGCCAGAGCTTGTCTCGTCACAGTGCCCACTCAGAAGGGTGTAGGTCTCAGGTGCTTTGTCGGGACTCAGTGCCCTCCAAGCATCAGCTGGGCTGGCAAAGCTTCAGGCAGAGATGGGAACCAAGAAATTACCCACCACAAGAGAACATGACCCCGAGCTGAATTTGAACATCTGTTTCCTGTGTCACGCGCTTCAGAAAGCATGGTATTGTAGGTTTTTCCAGATCAGATCCCAACACTCCTTGGGGAGAACACACTAAGCAGCCGTCAAAGTCGAAGCTATGCTGGGTCTGCTCTGAGAGGGCAGTGGTCAATCCCCGTGCAGCAGGGGGTTCTGAGGCCAGCCCCAAAAGCCACACAGAAGGTGTCCCTGCAGTCTGGGAACGTGGCTTTTCAGGACAAACTGGAGCTCTCTAAGGAAGGGAGAAAAGTAGGCATGCATTTAAGAACCTCAGAGAATTTGGGAAGGGATAGAGTAATTCCTGAAGGTAGAGTACATCGGTTGATCTTAGAAGCTAGCCTTGGGGCATAGGGGGTTAAGCCACCGCCTGCAGCTTCAGGATCCCATATGGGCACCAGTTCAAGTCCTGGCTGCCCTACTTCTGATCCAGCTCCCTACTAGTGCACCTGGGAAAGCAGCAGAAGATGGCCCGACTACTTGGGCACCTGCGCCCATGTGAAAGAAGCCCCTGGCTCCTGGCTTCCAACCAGCCCAGCTCTAGCCATTGCAGCCATGTGGGGAGTGAACCAGTGGATGAAAGACTTCTTTGTCTCTCCCTCTCTTTCTGTGTCTAACCCTGCCTTTCACATAAATAAAATTAAAAAAAAAAAAAAAAAAAAAAAGCAGCAGCAGCAACAGCCAGCCTTGCTGTTCTGGTGAACAGAGTGCAGCCAGAGATTACGCAACCAGCTGGCCAGAGCATGGACTTGGGGTTATGCAGATGTGACTTCAAACCCCTGCCCTGGAATTTACGAGCCACATGACCTTGGGCAAGAAATGCAAATGGTTGAAAATAACAGCACTCCTTTTATAGGGCTGTTTCTTGTGGATTCAATGACCTGGCTACATGTAAAGCGCCTGGATAGCGCCGGACACGGAGCAGTGTGCCTGATACGGTCAGCCAGCATTCTTATCACTATTAGGCCCGTCATCAGCCTACCCTCACGAAGCAGCCTGTCTGGTATGCCACTGCTGTTTCTAGAATATAGAAATAGATTTTTTCTGCTTTTTGTGTCCTCATGTATTTAATATAATTAATCCAAAGGGTAGTAACTGGTTCATAATAGAGGAAATAGACCAAAGTTTTATGAAGAACGTTGGAGAAGAAGCCTTCAGTAACATAACACTGATCACTCTACTACATTTAGATTCCATCCATCTATTCATTTCAGTGAATAATTCATTTATTTAGTCACCAACACATTAACCTTCCAGTATTTGCTAAGGGCTTTCTGTGTATGTGCAATGCGGTCAAGGTGGGAGTGGGAACTACAGCCTGGAGATGAGCACTGAAATAAACCAACGAGGCCAAGCAAACTTTAGGTTCTTGTTGGTAGCTCATGGCAGCCCTCAGAGAAGTCCTGAAACAGGGCAAGGCTAGTGCCTGTCCCACAATGTCACTACCAAATTACAATGAAGCTAAGATTCAGACTGAATCCTGCCATGTATACAGCTATCATTAGACAAATATTCATTAGCCAGCAGACACAACAGCATCCATGACGCCTAAATCTCAGCCCTTTTGCTTCCATATGAAAAGTCTGCTCAAGGTAGGCTCCTCTGACTCCTAGCTGCCTCAGACAATCAGAAATCCACATCATGGAACTGGTCAGCAGTCAAGACCCCGGCACCATCCCCACACACTCGGGCTCAGCCCTCGCTGAATTTGTATATGCTGTTTATGTAAGGAAAGGGACTACATTGATAGTATCTTCCTAGACACGCTTGCATACCTTAGTATCTCTGATTTGATCAAAGAAAGCCCACTTCTGAGATTAATCATGCTCATTAGAACATTGCTAGTTTCACAATAAAAGCCCATCTCTGACACTGGGTGTTCTTACTTGAAGCTGTTGGCTGAGGTATGATAATGCAAAGACTGCCCCGGGCTGGCACCCTGGCTCACTTGGTTAATCCTCCGCCTGCAGTGCCAGCATCCCATATGGGCGCCGGTGCTAGTTCTGGTTGTTCCTCTTCCGGTCCAGCTCTCTGCTGTGGCCCAGGAAGGCAATGGAGGATGGCCAAAGTGCTTGGGCACTGCCCCTGCATGGGAGACCAAGAGGGGGCACCTGGCTCCTGGCTTCACATTGGCGCAGTGCGCTGGCCTTAGCGGCCGGTTGGGGGGTGAACCAATGGAAGACCTTTCTCTCTGTCTCTCTGTCTATAACGCTACCTGTCAAAATAATAATAAAAAAAGACTGGCCCAAGAGCAGGGCACTTTCTGGTAGGAAACTAGATGCCTGCCCTTTCACTGTGCATTCTTGATTAGTCACAGAGCTTTGGTTTAATATAAGAAACACATATGCAAAATTATATTGTAAATGCTGAAATACATAAAAATAAATTGCAGATAGCATAAAATCTATATACAGAGGGCTTAGTCTGAATTCAACATCATCTGGGATCTGACTTAGCTTCCTAGGCCAGACATCTGATTTTGTCCTCATACCACCAGGGAAAAGTTTGGGAAACCAAGCCTTTGGAGCCCAGTGTACAAAAGCAGAGAATCAAACCATGAGCTTACAATGAGAACTCACGCTTTTATGTAGCGCTGACATTGATGGGTAGTAAGGTTTGGATATCAGTTTGGGTTTTCACCAAAGGCTAAAGGCTTGGTCCCCAAAGTCTTATGTTAATAGTGAGTGGATTGTTATTGGTTAATGGACTAAGCATTGAAACTTAATCCAATCACAGTGTCAGGCCATGAGGCCTTCGGGAGTGATTAGATTGGATTAGGTTGCTAGGGTAGGACCCTCATGATCAGATCATGGTGGCTCTATAAGGACAGACCACATAAACACAGACAAACGCTCCTGGTCTCTCTGCTTCCCGAGTCATCACGTGGTCAGCCTTCCACACATCCTCTGCCTTCACCATCCTCTGGCCTCCCTAGATAGCCAAACCAGTGGGGCCCACCTGATCTTGGACTTTGAACCTCCAAAATAGTGAGCCAAAATAAATGTTTTTCCTTCCTAACCAGCTCTTTCAGGTATTTATGACAGGGATGAAAAGTTGACTTAGACAATGGGATAAACATACTTCCTCTCTGGACACTGATTTCAGGAAGGTTCTCACCATAAAGTTTGTTGAATCTTGAAATATGAATAAGAAAAGGTTGTGGTTGGCTGATCTGTAAAGGGTAGAGACCTGCCAGAAGTATTTGAGATCATAAATCAGGGCGCTCTCCCTCTCTGAGCTCAAACAGGCATTGCTAGTTTCTGATTTGATAAACTCCACGTTCCACGTAGCCCATTTCCTTACCATGCACATAGGAGGCCACTATATAATTCATTACATTTCTACATTAAATTACCATGATATTCTCTGTTGGCCACCCTAGCCTAATCCACTTTGGTTTTCTTGAAGTCTGGAGAATAATCAAATTCTTCCATCAGATTGACAAGAAGGTGGTTTATCCTATTCACCCTGAGTGTGTAGATTATATATTGGTTGAAATTTCAGGAGATTCACTTGGCAATGTTCTTCTATTTACAAGGAATGGAAACCCCAGCTCAGAATTGGTGATATTTCTAGCTCAGCAAGTTCCAAGGGTTCAAATACTGTCATAGACCTGGTTCTTTGGGTCTACTTTACCCTAGGGTGCCTTCAGCTCCATATACACATCCTCCCACTTCCAGGTCCAGGTGAAAGACAGCTTCTTTCTTCCTTCCTCCCTCCTTTCCTTCCTCCCTCCTTTCCTTCCTCCCTCCTTTCCTTCCTCCCTCCCTCCCCTCCTCCTCTTTTCTTCTTTTCTTTTCTTTTCTTCCTCCTCCTCTTCCTCCTCCTCTTCCTCCTCCTCTTCCTCCTCCTCTTCCTCCTCCTCTTCCTCCTCCTCTTCCTCCTCCTCCTCCTCCTCCTCTTCCTCCTCCTCTTCCTCCTCCTCTTCTTCTTCTTCTTCTTCTTCTTCTTCTTCTTCTTCTTCTTCTTCTTCTTCTTCTTCTTCTTCTTTCTCTCTCTCTTTCTCTCTCTCTTTCTTTTCTCAATAGCTCACCAAGAGCTCCCACAATTGAAACTCAGTGGTCTGCTTTGGGTTATGTGCTCATCCCTGAACCAACTGTGGCTTCAGGAAGACAGATTATGGGGATTGTCCAGACCTTGGTTTCAGGACCCTTCTGGAGACCTGGTTTCTGTGTGTGGATTGACAGCAGGTGTGGATTTGTGCTGCTGCTTCCAGGAGAAGGTGGCTGGAGTCCAGGAGAGCCAAGCAAAATCTGGAGAGGTGACCTCAATTCTCTTGTCGCCAAATTCTTGAAGGTGGGGCAGGGACTGACCTGCTGTGCCATGCATACCCAAAACCAGGTAGTATGGGCCATATAATATATGGCCTCTGCATCCAGGAACTCAGCTCACCAGAATAGATATGTGTACAAACAGAGAAAAAGTGGGACTTCCATGTTTAGAGAGAAGAGAAATTAGTGTTTTTTGAAAAGATAAAGATAGCCTTTAAGGAAGAAGTGGCATTTGAGCTTCCAAGGATACATAGGTTTAGAGAGCTAGAGACAGAGGGCAGGACCTGCAGAAGCAAACACAATTGGAAAAGAATAGTGGGCTTATCTGAATTGCTTCGGATTGTGTGTGACAGGCGGAAACAGGCACCTGTGATGTCAGCTTGGACTGTGGGTATGTGGTCGGGTTGGGTGGCTTACCCTAGAGGGGTACCTGTGCAGAAGAGAAGGGTAGAATTTCAGGAGCTGTGACCATGTCTCGTAGCTTCTGTCTCATCGTTGCTGGGCCTGGGGCCCAGGACACTTTTCAACAAGCAGATTCCAGCAGCGATCCCAGATGGCACAGACCCAGGACGCTGAGGGAGTAAGTCCTCAAGTTTTCCATCTGGATTTTGGGACATCCCCCCGGGCCTGCCT